AATGGCCACACCACGGGAGCTAGACATCGCTGTGGCAATGGTTGTCTGACCTTTGCAACAAGGCAGAAGACCACTGTGTATGTGGTCAATAAAAGACAGGAGCTCACAACAACAGAAAAGCAACATTTGTCTGGGATCGCCCTAATCATAGTTTGCATATGCTTGCGTTACTAGGGCTGATCCCTGGAATTGGATCAACATTTTTACTCTATCTTCCGAGCATTGTATTTATAAAAAGAAAACAAGAGTTCTTGCCATTAAAAAAAAACAATAATCTCTTGAAACCAAATCTAGTTGAGTGAAAATGAGCATCTTTTCATCTCCCAACAGTGTCCCCATGGCTGCCTAGTGCGCAGTCCTGTTCTGCTCTCTGAGACTTGTAGGAGATAAGCAGCAACAGCCTAGTGATCAATGAGAAGTGGAAGCATCAAATTAAATATTTCAGTGCCTACTGTGCACAGCCAGTCATCTGAGAGAAACCCAGGTTTGTAAGGAATCACAGCTTGTCCAGTCTCATAATTACACACCACGGCAAGCAGCCTGACCCGGTGATTAAGACTCTGCTTTAGGAAGTAACTGCCTGCTGCTCACAAGCCACAAGGCGATCTTAGGTCTGTCTCCTCACCTGGGAGAAGGGACTTCAGAAAGTTCAGGGCAAGATGAAATTAAAAAGGGAGCGGATATTTTTCGTGAACTTTCTGAAGTCCCTTCGTTCTTACTGGGACAGGAAAGGCACCTACACCACACAACCTTCTGGGAGGACTCAAGATTATCTTGGGGAGGAGGGCCTGTGTCACGTGGGGGGGGAGGGGGGAGAAGCGTGGGACCATCGCTGTTATTAACTATTTTTACTGACTGGGGGACATCTATGCAAGCATCACCCTAACATCAATGTGTCTAATGTTTGCGAGGAGGCGGGTAAAGAAAGCAGCCATGTAATTTGGAAATCATGGAAGGGGGATGCGGCACATTATGGTTGGGAAGATTTTGAGTTTTTCAAAGGAAGATTAGGATAAATTCCAATATGAGTAACAAGGAGGCCTGGAGGCTCGCAGAAGCATACTACTATACAGGCTGCAGAATTGCCAAAGGCCCG